CAATAAAATATGTTCAAACCAAACCATAGCTTTACAGAGGAAAACTATAATAGTTAACGAATTGTTAACTATATAACTCACGGTTTGTAAACTATAGTTTACAGTCGATATACCTAGTTTATCAACTGTGAAACTATGTTTGGCTCATTTTGTGAATTTGGCGTGCCATAGTTATTGGATACACTAATTGGCATTTGCCCGAAATTCTATCCCATGTATATTTCAACAGTGAGGGAAAGCAGTGTAAAGAACTTTACCCCACCTCTGTTGATTTTTCCGTGAAATCCTGGCTTACGATTGGTTGAAGTCTGTCACGTGAAGGCAGTGGATAACTTATACCCGGTCAGTTGTAAATCCATACCCGGTCGATGTATTACGTCACAAACACAAACGTGACGTCATAATAGGCACAGTATAAGCGCGATGAAGCATTTAGCAGAGAAAACCATTTATAAACCACAGATAAAACGTAAATGTTTCATCGGTGGGGTAAATTCGTTACATAGTCTTTTAGTGACAGGGTATGGGATGATACCTGGTTAGTAAATTTCATACCTGACTCGGCTCCGCCTCGCCAGGTATGAAATTTACTAATCAGGTATCATCCCATACCCTGTCACTAAAAGACTATGTAACTAATAATATAGGGTTTCTATTATAGTTTGGCCCCCGTTTTTTATACAATTTAAACGCCAATAAACCTCAATGAAATTGATAATTTTTGAAAGATTAGAATTTATACTTTTCTTTTATGGTTAAATTGATATGTTGATTTATGTAATATGCAGAGAATTAAAGGCTTAAAGTGACTAAGTTTACAAGAAAACACCTAAAAGTGGCATTTTTAGCATCGTTATCGGCGATTTTAGGTATGTGCGACGCCTTGAACAAGAAAGATATTTACACACGTAAAAGATATTTTCAAAGAAAGTCTTCATTCAAAAAATTAATCTTGTTCATAAAGTCGCACACACTTTAAAAAATTAAAAAAAACCTTGAGAAAAATAGCACTTTCTGACTCGCGTGACGTCACAAGCATGTACGGAGAAAGACGACGACGTTTTTGACATGTGTTAAATTTTTTTTATTTCGAAGGTAGCATCATCTATCGATTGCTTCATGTATATTTTCGACATAAAGTTCGAGACATATCTATTTTAGAAACATATTTGTGATTAAAGAATATATTTTATCGGGATCGACATATTGATCTGTTGATGTGTGGATCACAAGGAAAACGATGATCGAGTTTGATCTTCGAATCGCTTGAACTTCGTCTACTGTACATCAAATCAGTTCACAGAAGAAATATATACACAGTATACATTTTGTAAAATTATTTTTTCATGTTAAAATACGTTCATTGTGTGTGCATATTTCCATATCTACTTTATACGTTATCATTTCTTCCCATATCCGATATCGTTCATTGTTTACCTGTTTACAAGGCAACAAATGTACGGCCAACCAGACGTGTAAAAAATTCAACGTTATTCTAAGAAGTTCGGAGCATTAGTAATTTTAATAAAACCAACTAAAATAATTTTTTTCTATAAATGTTGAGTACAAATACACAAATAGAAATAATATTAATATTTCTATAATTTAATTTTATTGCATAATTAACTTATTTATATGTACAAAAAAAAAATAATAAATAGGCCTAAATGAAAATAAATAGTAAGAAAGTTTTGAATCAACATTTTATTTATACGATAGTCAAAACAAAACAATAAAAACGCATCACATTTTTAATTATAAAAATTCATTCTAATTCAATTTCTGAATTTTAGGGTAAATGTGTTATTATAAAAACTATCATAGTGTGAATTATTAAATTAAATAGGTTTATACTTAGTTGTATAACGAAGGACCCATTATACATGTACATATACATAAGGTCATATATACCCTTTCTCTAAACATTTTTTTTACTGATTACTGCAGTAACACTCAACATGATATTGGTTTTTTTTTTACCTCAACTATTTTTTTTAAATATTATAATAATTATTTCCTTTTTATTTTAATTAACTAGTTAAAACATTGTGATTTCTCTTCCGGACTGTACAAATAGGGAGTTTTAAAATGCATTTTTTTTAGTGTTGAGAAAGTGGCGTGTGTCATTGCTACCTTCGTAGTTTGTAATACAGTCAAGGTTCTTACCCGTGTAGTTGTATTTCTTCTCGGAAAAATCTCAAAAAAGTACACTGTACCAGTTGAAATTAATTTTTTTATCGAAAAGGCAAAAGACTAGAAAGTTATTGATTACTCAGTATATTTTATCGATTGCACCCTTCCCCCTCTATGATATCAAAACAAGATTCCGATATTTCACCAGGTCTATTGGTGCACCTGTGTGGCGCAGTGGTTAGATCATTTGCCCATGAGTCGCAGAGTATAGCGCAGAATATCCTTAAGTACAGGGTTCAAATCTCACTTCGGAATCGAGACATAATTAGATTTTGAATATAAAAAATAGTTCTCGAAAGCGAAGGGTAGATAAAAAAAAATCAAACAAACAAACCTGTTCATTGAGTTTGTGTATCTCCTCAATGGCCAGTTACATGAATTCGTATTGTTTTCTTTAACAATTTTATGTTTAATTTTAAAAACCTTATATCATTATGCCTTTTGAATTTTTTAACAATGTATTTTAGGCAGTATTTACACGATCTTCCCTTTCTGATACTAGAATTTGTGTACATGTTAATAGGAAAAGGCCATCGATTTCAATGGAGAGAAAAATAAAAATGATTGATAGATTGTTTTCAATGTCCCTGTTGAGAATTTTTCTTTATATTGAGAAACCACCACTTGCAGATGAAGGGCAACAGATTCTAACCTATATTCGGCACTTAGGACAATTGACCAGCGAGAAATCTTTTTTTGTGCCATCTCCAACTACACACGGGACCTCAGTTTAAACGAAGGAACGGCCTCCACGTCCCTTGGTGGGATTCTATCCCTCGACGTAAGGATTGACTCCTTACTTCGCGACTCTATAGAAAGATGTTTAACTACTGCGCCACGCAGGCGAAATTTTGGCAATAGAATCATAAATTAAAAATTCATAAATATGAAAAAAATATAAGTCAATATGTCGTTTCACTACTTATTTCTGCACTTCAGATATGATCATGCGGTGCAACATTTTTATGTTCATATTGCAAAATTATGCTGAATGATACAGATGTTTTTTTTTTTTTAATAAATTCCTCCGTGAAATGATAATTGATAAAATCCAATTAATGCTTAGCATTTTTCATATTTTCATCTGCCAGTGATTTGAATTTTATAAATGATTATGGTAGAACAATTTTTGACAAGACTTTGAATTAGAGATTTAATCAAATTATAAATCATATGTATACATGTACTAGAATATAAACTTCTATTTTTTCTAAGTTACAAAGTTATTATCGGAAAGAACTGCATTAACGGACAGACTTATTGTAAGAGAGGCAAGTTGATTCCTGTCAACAATCACGTCCCTCAAGTCAATACCAAGTTTTTGTTAATATGTTAAATATTTATGCGCCCGAATTTATTTGGGGCGTATATTTTTTTTTGTTCTATCTGTCTCTTTGTCTGTTTATCTGTTTGACTGTCTGTTTTTCTGTTTGTCTGTCTGTTGTCAACTTTAACCTTCGCCATAACTTTTGAACCGTTCGAGATAGAGACTTCATATTTAGAATGCATACTCCACTAACTAAACACTTTCAACTGACACCAAGGTCAATGACCTTGTGACCTTGACTGTGAACTTTATGCTAAAAATAGTTTTTTCCCTCGAACTTTTGCTCTAACTTTTGAACCATAGGAGATAGACTTTATGCATACTTCACTAGACTTTATATTTGGTATGCATACTTCATTAGTTAAGTGCTTTCAAATGACACCAAGGTCAAAGACCTTGTGACCTTGACTGTAACCTATATGCTAAAAATAGCTTTTTCGAACTTTCTTGCCGCTGGGCGCATAGAGTTTAACAAACATATCTTGTTTTCTTTATTCCTAAAAATATAAAGTTTAACAAAAAAAAAAAAAAGCGGAAAACAATGTTTAAAAAAATTAACGATTGCTTTTGTTTGGTAAACAACAACAAAAACTGATCTAAAGGAATACGTTTGTAAAAAATGGTTGCTATGGCAACGGAATTGCCTATCAATTTAATATAATTCTAAGTACAAAATCATCTAAGGGTATCCAAAATATAAATATATATGGAAGATTTTATAGATGCTACCAAAATTACAGATCTTTTAATTGTCAATAAAGCCATAATTTTAGATATAATGGAATAAGTTTAAATATAGTTTCCATGGTAACGGAATACCTATATAATTTAAAATATATTTTCTTTGTAAAATAGTCACTATGTCATATCCCAAAGTATACATACTATCATTAACTTAAGACAATATAGTTGGTATCAAAATTAAAGATTGGTTAAATGACAATAGATGTCATTAGATGCCAGATTTAGAGGTCTGAAGGTGTATGAATTTGACGACGGTTTCCATGGCAACGGAACGCCTGATCAAATTAAATTATATATTTTTAGTAAAATCCTTGCCTTATCCCTCTCCATAGTAAAGATAAACATTTTCTGAGTGGGGGCCTTAAATGGCCCTTACTCTATATACTTCTTTCAGAAGCTAATTATGTAACGTCGAGAATGCCACGCCTTATACTGAAAGTCAAAGCTATACTTAAAATTGTCCTACATGTAACTGCAGAAATAGACTGGTACCCTATGTTGAAAATGAACAAAATAGTCTCAAGATCCAAATCTCAATAGTTTTGATATACCGTATTTTCATCCAATTAAAAAAAAATGTTTGCTAGTGTTTAGAACTTCCTTAACATTCTTCTCTTCTTTAAATGTAAAATACTTGTTTACGAGCACAAATAATATGTCAAATACACAAGAGTATTACCGTGACATATATATGCAGTGATATATTTAGAGAGGTTTCCAAAATACTTTATACGTGTTTGCTGCCTTTGTAAATATTCATTCTTTGCTAATAGGTAAGGCTTTTCAATTTTTCTTCAAACTGACATCTGAACCAGTGTAAATGTCCAGCATATATAGCACCTTTTAAAATGACAAGTTCTGCTTCATCTGGTACTACAACAGCTAAATTGTTTAAATCACAAAAACGTTTGACTTCATTTTGGAATAATTTGTTGTTTGAATAACCTCCAACCATACAGAGAAAAGAAATCTCACTTAAATTTTTATCTTTTTCGAAAAATTCCTTTAAATGCTGGCTTAATAACATTAGAGCTGGTTTAAAAATAACGACACGAAAAACTTCTGCATCAATGTGAAGTTTGTGGTTTTCAAAGGTAACTCCCCTACTGTATTTCTGTCTTGATTTTGATTCCACGTGCTCCTTAACAGAACACTGACTAGTATGTTCTTTTACAAGATCCTCCAACTGGGTCGGGATCGGTAAGTAAATTTTCTGTGTATTGCTGCTGATTTTGTGCTTTTCTGTCTCGAAGTTATGCAAAAGCAAAGAGTAATCTTCCACATAATTTGTATGGAGGTCTGATATGATATATTCCCCAAACAAAGATTTCATGAACCGAATAAATCTCTCCCCCGGACCGTCTGCTTCCCAGTCAAAGTATCTCATTTCTATGTTCTGGGACCGTTCTTGTCCTTCTCTCCCTCTCAGTTTTGTTATCTCACATCTCTCTATGAAAATAAAGTAATAAAAAAGACATTTATATTTCACCATTATTGTTCATGTGCCTTTTTTCAAAATTTTACACTTTATCGCTTGAAAACAAAGACATGATTGTATTCTTTAATTATTTCTTCTTGGATTCATTTTGTTTTACAAATTCAAAAACAAATTTAAAATCAATCGAATAGAATTCAACTGAAAAAATTCTGAATGAAAATAAATTACTTAGCATAATGAGTAACAAATTAAGCAGGTGAAATGCAGCAATAACACGCTTTCATGAATAACAATTCATACCCCCGCCTACATCCAAAATGATGAAGTCTTTGTTGTAGATGTCCTGAAATACTTTACGTCCGGTCTCTCGTTTAGCTAAAGGCAGCAAATGTTTTGGCATGACTTGAAGAAAGGGTAAAACGGTCTGCACTTCACTTACCATGTAGAGCGATCGCTCAGAAATTCCAGCCTATCGGAGGTGAAAATAAAATTATATAGTAAATTTGGTTACTTCTGACGAAGAATAAATCTGGTATATGCAAGGCGCACTGTACAATGCGTTGGGCCAAAATGACCAAATTACCAGAACATTTCTTATTATTTGACATAATCTAAACAAAACTATATTAGTAAACTAGTACATTTATTTTTACATCAGCTGACTATTGGAATTTTTGCAATATGGTACTTATAATCAATGACATTTCCTACAGCGTGTGCTGCACTCCGCAGTACAGAAACAAGGTCTTCGTCCCAGGATACAGGGTAAGTGACAACAGCGTTAACGTCTTCCAATCGAACGCCCTCAGTTGTGTCCTGAGTTCTGTTGAAAACCTCCTTGATGCGTTGTAGAATAAGATTTAGAAGGTATCTGATGAATATTGTCAATATGTCTTTCAGGGGTTTCTCTATCCCGTTCTCTGCTTTAACCACCATGTCTCCCTTTTTACAAAAGAAAATACTTAAAGTTTAACATCCATTTAGTTTACGTGTCTCTCGATACTGGACCTTCTCAAATGAAACCAATAACAATGTGGCTGACATAACGTCTTTTAATATAACTCTTTTAAACATCGACATTTGCGAGAAATGTTGAAAGCATAAGAAAGGGCTTGTCACAAGGGATACAATGTGAAATATGAAAGCCCTACATCACCAACCATTCAAAAGTTATGAACAAGATTAAAGTTTTCCAAAAAGTAGACAGACAATATTTAATTAAAGTCAATATGTTCATGATGTTATAAAGAGAAAAAATGGTTGGTATCCAAAAGAAAGATCTTATTACAAGAAATACTCAAGTAATGAATTAATCCCTATAAGCTAGACAGTTCATAGACCAATATAAAAGTTTTCTAAAGTTTCAAGATTTGAAATGTCTTCTACATGCAATATACTTTGGTAAAAGTTTAATTTCACATGCAATACTTTCGTTTAAGTTTAATTTCACATGCAATTTTTATTACAAACTCCACTTGAAAAGCAGACTGGTATATAGTGATCGGGATGTCGTCCGTCCATCTGTCTGTTACTCACTGGGGTACCCATTTCTTATCCGCAACTCCGATTCTACCACTGAATGACTAGATTTAACTAGACTTCACAGATTCTTTGTTACATGGTGCCATTTTGACCTCGGTCCTATTTTTCTTTTTGATCCGACACATATATCATATATTTTGGGTTTCATATAGCAAAGCATGGATACTTTATATTCTTTCTAAAATATTAAAGGGTACCCATATCTTATCTTCAACTTCTCTTATACCACTGAAAAAAATAATACTTTCACAGATTATTTATTACATAAAGTGATTGTGCACGTCTGATTTTACTTTTTGACCTGACACTTATCTGGGGTCTCCCAGAGCAAAACCGGCGTTTATAATCACATGGAAGGCTGGGGTATCATTTAGTGAGCTCAGTGCTCACAGTACCTACAGTCTTTTTTATTGCAATAGGTCTAACTTCTAAGATATGACCATGCAGGCAATAAATATTAGCATCTAAAGAAATTTCACAAGGAATAAACATTAAAATTTTGATATATGAAAGCCCAGAGCCATCAATCATGCAAAAATTATGTTAACGACCACACAAAATTTATTCGGAAAACAGACATTTGCGGATGGACAGATGAATACCCCAAAAGCTACTTACAAACATGTATGCATTCGAATCTATGATCAAATAAACACATTGTTCAATATATCTGGTGATGACGACAGAGATAACTAAATTTGGGACATCTGATTTTAAAAATATGATAAATCAATCCTCTTTCAGAGTTATAAAATTCAAAATAAAATTAGTATATTGTTAGTGTTTTGTATATGAATAAAACTTGCTTGAGATATGTATACAGAATTCAAAAGTATGCAAAATTCTTATCAATTCTTTGTAAAATTTTACGGTTATAACGAACTCTGATACCCAGAATAACAAATTTACTAATACAGCGAACTGATTTTGTGTCCCCTAGAGATTTTAAAATATAATGAAATTTACATCTTTTATAACGAATTTTCAAAGATATTATAATTTGACAAATTATCTGTCTTTATTTTTAGTAAAGCAACATGAGCTGCAGATTTGATGTCGGAATTTTTGTTGCAAAATTGGAAATAACTATTTACATGTATAAGCTTCGATTAAATCAAAATTATATTATTATCGTCCTGTACAATAATGATTTCTTATTTAAAACTATATATTGGATTGTATAAGCCTTTTGTCTGCTTTGTTTTAGTCCAATCGATCATAAAGGTTAAAGTTACATACAGATTTATCTAGATAACACATTTTAACAGCAAAATATTTTTTTCAAAAATGCAGCTCATATTGCTTTAGTGTTTGTATATAAAATTCACATTAAAATAAAACCTTATTTATCCAAGGTATATTTTGTAATAATTGCTTTTGTAACAAATTCGATGGTAATACTTGAAGGAAAACGTGCATATTGCAAATTCGCTATATAAAGTAATACAAATTCGATATAACGAATTTTGCGAATTAAATTCACAGGTCCCCAGGATTATAACCGAGTTTTACTTTAGTCATATCTATATCATGTGAATTTTAAAAAGATTAATAATTAGATGGAGAACAATATGCTGTTAACTCATTGCTAAGTCTGTGTGGATTGCCATTCCTATTTTAAATATATTTGTTTTCTGAATGCTATTAATATGTAAATCACACTTTAAACATGGGTAAAAAAAAACACAAGTCCCCGCATATTAACAAAACATTAAATTAAACAAAAAATAAAAAACTTGAAAAATTTAAATATCCTCTTTTTATGAAAGTTACACAAGAGCTTTGGCCATAAATTAGCCTAAGGCTAAAATAGCTGCTGCTGATAGAAAACAGACCTATTGGATAGATCCTTTAAAAAATACTTATTTAAGTGTCCAATTTAGTTTTCTTAGCAATTCTAAAATAGTATTTAATACGCTGTAATTATAAAACTAATAATACATGTACACATGTATGAGTATTTATAATTATAAGTAGTGTGCTTTTTACTGGGGGTTATATTTTGTACCTTTTTTTCGTAAAATTGGTGAAAATGGCAGAAGAACAATAACTTTTCTCTATCCCCTGGCAAGGCCTCTTCATATGTTTTTCTGGCATCATATCCATATAAATCTTCATTATTTTCAGTGCGTTGTAATACAGCAGTCAGGATCTTTGTAGTTAGCGCATTATCATTAGTAGTAGAGAAGTTCTTCTCGATGTCAAACGGGTTAAATATTGAAGAAAACCCATATCCTGAGTAGGTTGCTCCGATGTCTATTGCAGCTATGAACAAAACTCGGCTCCTTGTTCCTTCGTATTCAGGTATGGCTGAATAATAATAATTTTATAGTTATAGTAAATTTGAACGATTCATGCTTTAAGGAACTCTTTCACATTTTGAATACTTATGTAAATGTTTGAAGATTTTTTGCTCACATTAAAAGACTACCAAAAAAGTTATGAAAGTACATAATTAAGACTAACGTTCTTCGAGTTGAATTTGTATGTCTTTATGACGAATGCCCTCTGTCTTTGGTGTCGCCATCTGGGAAGAATCTAAGCCTAAAAATAATTTACATTTAAATAATTTTACGTTTTTTATTTACATGTAAAATTATGGAATGAAATCTGTGGAGATAAGGAACAGTATTCAAGTTACATTAATATTTTTCATAACATTTTATGGATTGTTAATTTTAAACTTTTCCTATTATTTTATGTTGCAGAGAAGTGCCCATCAACTACATGCAGTAAAAGTATTTTAATTTAATTAGGTGTACATGTATATTATACCACAACATCATAGAAAAAATTGATAAATTACAACTTGTACTTGAATAATAAAAATATTAAAATTTTCTTAAATTGTTTTCTGTATCATCATTTTTAGTTTGTTTTCTTGATTTCATACAACTGTACATTGTATTTCTCGATCTGTTTGCATTTTTCTCTAGTGTCTTTATCAGAAAATATCTTTAAAACATTTTATAACTCTTACTTGAACATCCTGAAAAATTTCTTGTGAGAATCTTTGGCGACTCCATTAATGACACTTTCTCAGGATCTATTTATAACATATTTACATGCATTTATTTAACAATGTATAAAATTTATTTTCTGACTACTGGGATAATACCAAGTTTACTCTTCCCCAAAAAGGCAACTATTTCCACCGGATGCCCCCCGGGAAAAGTTGTTGAGGGGACGTTTTACTTTCTATTGTCCCAAAAGTCAGTAGATTACTAAGTAAATTACTAGTACCTGTCTCGCACTATCCGGATAAAACACGAGGGAAATTGAATGCTGTTGATGATTAATTTATTTCATCATAGACAATGAGCAAAAGAAATTATTTCACAGTAAAAAAAGATTATTCATCACATTTTAAATACCTGGTAAGAAAATACACAGAGGTATAATAAAATGATATAAATACTGAATGCATAAAAAAGAAAAAGAAAAAAATTAAATTAAAAAAAAAGTCCTGGCCTTTTGAGATCTTTACATGACAAAAATGTTCATGATTAGTATTTGTCCAAATATTTAATTGTCACAGAAGATGAAAAACATTTATAAATAAGGCACTTCTATTTCTACAGAACAATACCTTTGCGATTTTTTTCATCTGTATCAGTTTGCATTTGTCTATCTATGGAATAATTGTTTAAAACATATGTTAATTCAGAAATTAATAATGCTATATACCGGCATATTTTGTTTAATTCAGCAAGGAAAGAAATAATACATTTCTTACTTATAAATACAGCAGATGATTATTAAGGTAAAATTTTATGATATACTTAAACATGGTATACTCCTCAGAACTTGTGTTTTCCACAAGATTATACCAATTATAATTATTAGAAGTAGCAAGGCAACAGCACTGCTAAATATGATATCTTTGGTAATGCTAGAAGTATTTTCTTCTTCCTCATTAGATCTACAAGGAAAACAAACACGTTTTCATACAAAATTTCTCTTCTTTTTTCATTTCATCCTGAAAACCATTGAGGAGCAAATATCACTCAATTATCAATTCTTCCTTGCATTACATGTAAGTATTCAATCTTATTCTTGTACATATGTACCTGCTATCTACATTAAAATAACTAAGTTGTTGGTAGGGTTTATTTATACACATTGTTTACTATTTATAAATATAAAGAATATCATACCAATTTAACAATATAACATTTCGAATATACATTACATATACAATGAATTATACCAAGTGAAGTATTTCAAAGGTTTAATTAGGGCTGGGCAATAATATCGATATTTCAATATATTGCAATACAATGACAAAAAATATCGTATCGCAATACGATTTTGTAATATCGATATATTGGCAATATGCTTAGATTAAGTAATTTTATCATTAAATATAAAAATGGACTTATGAAAGTTTGTTATTAAGCCAAACAGTACGACAGAAGTTGCTTTGTGGGAACATTTGAGAGCATAACTTTAATGAAATTAACAATTTTTTTGTCATTGTTGGTTACTTATCATAGTTATGTACATTCTGCATGTAAATTAAAAGTAAATTTAGGAAGAAAATGCCATTTAAATTACATTTAAAATATTGCAATACATATCGCAATACAGTTACAAATATCGCAATATATCGCAATACGAAATCTCGGGCCAATACCCAGCCCTAGGTTTAATGATTATTCTTGGACTTGAAATAATTTGTTAAATAATCAGTTGTACATACTGTTTATCCAAAGAAGTTGATTGCTCAAATGTTGTTGGATAATTTCTTATAGGAGGTTTCACCTTAATTTTTGGTAAGGAAAAACATCCTGCAACTGAAAGATAAACATCATTTCATTACAAATCTATCTAACATTAATTTAACAACATTGCAATAAATAAACAACAACATCATCGCATAAAAACATACATTTGTAAGCATCAGTTGATGAATATGAAAAAGGACATTTCTCCTTAGCTGTAGAACAAGGTGCATTTGTATTCTCTTGAATTATATCGCCTTTTATATTAAATTCAGCACAGTTTCCCCCTAAAAGTAAATGACAAAATAAAGGAAATAATTGAAATTAGATGTAAAAAAAAATATATTTACAAATTCAAAGTACATGTAAATATATTGCCCTTATCATCTGTAAAAATGAAATACTGTTTCATGATACATGTAATTCTTAACTCAAAATATTAGCAATTTAACAATATTCTTTCTTAATAAACTTAAAAACGATGCTTCGTCAAACACATTTTAATAGCTTATGCAACATGTGCAAGGTTTTAATGAATAAAGAACATATAACACATACCAATAATGTTCACAGCTGGAGCACAGACCTCTAACAGCTCAGTTAAAAATGTATCGAGGACACAATGATATTCCCATTTCTTTTCGTCATATCCGGGACATCTAGGAGCATATTGAGAACAATTCATTGTTACAGATGATCTCTTCCATTCTTCTTCGGTTTCTGGGCACATTAGTGCATGCTTTACTGTAGAACTGGGTTTAAGGCATTTCTCTTTGCTCAAAGAATCAACAAAATGCTGAAATTTTAAACGAAAAAGAACATTCATTCAAGTTTAACATAGACAAAAAAGTATGTACATGTATGTTATAAAACTTTGAATTTAAGTTAAAACTTATAACTTACCAAAAATCCAATAAAATAGATCAAGATTTTCATGACTTGCCACTCCACTCCATACAGACCTGTAAATAATTTTCAAAAAAGTAATCGGCTATGAAAATTCAGAAATACATTTTTAATTGATTTGTTTTACTATTTGGCTTAATATAGTTAACTATGAAAGTGTTGTAATGATACTTTTTTCATTCTTGGGCATTTTGATTTAATTACTAAAAGTAGTATAGAGTGAGACTTTTTATGCTACTTTGAGGTGCAAACTGATTTGAGGTGGAGAGGTGGGCTTTAAAGGTGGAAGTATAAAGTAAATCCGGATGCTAATAATGACTATATGTAACTATAGGGAAGCAAACCCGGATGATTTTTTACTTATGATTACCTTATACACAAACGTTAAGTCCTATGAATATATTGTATTTCTTTAAATGTTATGACGAGTTGAAGCTTACTATGTCAGTTCAGTTCAGTTTTATTGAAGTCTGAGAGACATACATCTCATAGACATAACAATATGTCAATAGTGTATTAAGATCCTAAACTGTGTCTATTATTGAAATGAGACGTATATTTATTGCTTTGATTCATAAAAGTAGGTTTGATAAGAACGGTTTCGTGAATGTCCTGTACATACAAATGAAACGAAACATTTTAACTATATGAGGCCTAATTTTGAGTCAAGATACAAGTCTATAACCAGGCCTTAAAAGATGATAAACATGTATTAAGTGAAACCTCTATTTGCTTAAAAACTAGTCATTTAATAAATTTTAGAGAAGAAATATTCAAATAAAGAGATACGGAGAAATTGGAATTGGAGAGATATAAACTAATACTAAACAATATTCAATTCTGCCATCATGAGAGACACAAAAATTGACGAATTATATTTATTTATAAAAGTAAAATTCAAATAATCTAGGAAGATCGGTGGAGAAAGAACACTACGACCACCACCACCGAGATTATTAACATGATTGGAGAGCAATAAATACAAACAAATGCAACTGGACAAAGAAAAAAAATTGATTTGATTCACAATTTAGTCAAATTAAAAAAAAATTATTCAAAATTTGTTTAAGGATTTGTATTTACAAATAAATTTCCTTTACTCATATCCGTTGTTATTTTCCGAAATAAAGCTATTCCGGTACTGCATTATAACGTATTACACAAACAAGGATCAGTTAGTCGTCAGTTTCCGTTAATAACGATATATACATGAAATTTAAATTATTAATTGAACAGAAACACATAAGAAGAGAAACTAGTGATACGGAATTCATTTTGTTATATATATAACGAACGTTAAAATATGTTTGAACTAATTCGGAAAACAAATGTTATCGACAAATTTTAGCGATGGAGCATCCTTGTCCTCACTGCAACAAAAAATTTAGTAGTGAATTCGCAAGAAAACGCCATTTGGACATACATTTAAACAAAGTGAAATTGAAATGTAATTTTTGTGGAAAAGAAATAAATCGGAAAGACAATTTCGAACGTCATTTGAAGACATGTGAGAAGAGTAAAACGTGTTCCCATTGCGCGAAATGTTTCAAAACTTCCATTCAACGGCGTATCCATATACTTAAAGAACACAGGGATAAGTTGTTGAAATGTGAAAGGTGCAAAAAAGAATACTTGTGTGAAAAGGCTCATCAGCAACATATAGCCAGATGCAAGGTAAGAATTATTTACGAAAATTAAAACACGTAAGTGTGATCTTGCACTCATTTGGGTCTTGACTAAATAAATACGGGGTTCTCCAAATAATAGCTTCATATTTAATAAATGTGGTACTTCTAAACTTGCAAAGAATATTTTATGTTTCTTGCTTTTAGACATTAAAATCAAGATAATTATTTTATTCATTTGAAAAAGGCATATTACCCTCTTTATTTTGTTGTTCTTTTTTCTTTTACAATCAGAGAAAAAATTACTTTTAATCGACTTTAAATCTAGTAATACCGTACTTCAAAAAAGGAAGCAATAATGACAAAACAACGAGAGAGAAACTCAGACATTTTGACAAGTGTCAAGAACAATCTGACAATTGTGACTTTAAGTTCTATAAATAAATAATTTAGAAAAGTAAAATATTTTTTTACTAATATAACTTTTATATATTTAAGAATAAATATAATCAATTTACCAGTAAATGGAATCAGACAAACGATCGGAGAAAAATTGAAGTAAACACAATATTCTTAAACAGGTACATCTAAAATTTTAATTATATCCTCACCCGCTTTTATTTTCCAAAGTAAATTCTATTGATGTAATTTTTTTTGTTTAACAGAAATATCAAGATATTCCAGGACCTAGTTATAAATCTGATGAAATTCAACATGAGGTATTTACTAGGTTAAAATATCCTTCTATTTGAAATTAGAGAAAACAATTTTAAATAATCCTTTATACTTCTTTAAGAAGAAAACAAATTATGATATCTTTTCGAAACCAATCGAAATTTACAGTATTCATTGGGTTTTTTAAAAAACAGAATAATCAAGATATTCCAGCAGCTAGTTACAGATCTGATGAAAAGCAACATGAGATATTTATTAATAAAAACATGTTATTTAAGTAATTTAAGAAAGCGATTTTAAATAATTCTTTATGTTTATACACGAAGAAATCATTTATGATAATTTTTTTCCATTCGAAGTTAATCGAAATTTAGAGCATTCATTTGATATTTTTAACAGAATTATCAAGATATTCTGGGACCTAGTAACAGATATGATGAAATGCAGAATGAGGTATACCTATTAACATGAATTATTTACAGAGAATTTTTAAATGATTATTTTTATTACAAAAGAATTAAATGAAATCGGACCTATTCAAAGATTCACTGATAATCAAAAGTGCTTATTTCATTACAAAAATTATTTCAATAATGATTGAGTAGTTTTCTTTCATTTTCTAACTTTTTATCTAAAAATAAAAAAAAATAAAAGTTTTTTTTTGCTTGTATTTCAGGTGCCCATTGAACGATACACATGTAGAACTTGTCATCTCAGATTTGATTCGCGTCGTAATCTCTTTGTTCATCAGATGAATGAACATTTTCAAGTGGGAGAGGGAGGATTACAAGCCAGACCATGGGGAAATGGATCCCCTCCTTGGAAAGAAGGTGGAATAGTTGATCAAAGCCTGAAAGAAGTATATGAAAGTAATGCCCCAATTATATTACGGCGTCATCAAGAGGGGACTGTTTGTAGTATTTATAATTTTCCAATAGATAATCAGTTTTCTGTAGGGGAAATAATGCAAGCAGCCAACGAAATTTATGATCGACAAAATAGAGCTTTCAGATTGAATCTAGAATTTGGTCTCATATTAGTTAATACAGAAACAAGAGAATATAGATATTTTAAACCCCATCATAACCATGAAGTTTTTCAAAGACCCATTTACGTGTCACAGCGCAATCACTTAAATCGACTGCAGCAGCGAATGCAACGACTTAATATTACGAATTACATATTACGCCAACGACCCGACACAAAATGGAAACCCTATTTAATAACCAATGTTCGCATTGTCATATACCATTTGAATTTTGTTTTGGGAAATGAGGAAGTCATGTTACCTCCTCACATTAGTCAATCAAAATCTATTATCAAGCTGACAAAGGACCGGAAAGGTCAAATATATACAGATAATTTGTGTGCGTTCCGCTGTTTAGCGGTTCATCAAGGGTACTATCCTTCGGGCTTAGAATCTCGTACACTTATTTTATTTCAACAATGGGTGTCATTTCAAAATGCTCACCAAAGAGAAGTGGATTCAAATCCTAAAACATTCCCGGGTATCACTTTGAACGAAATTGCTTATATTGAAAAATGCTTCAAAATCAATGTTAATGTCTTCTCATTGAATGAAAGTCAATCAGCACAGTCTATCTACAAATCCATGTGTAAATTTTCGGACACCATTTATTTAAATCTTTACGAGCACCATCTGTCTTACATCTCGAATTTTAATGCTTATGCCAAAAAATTTCAGTGCAAAACATGTCGTCGTCATTTCAATCATCTCAAAAATATGAAACGACATCAGCGTGTTTGTTCGGGAAAAACAAAGAGAAGATTTCAGGGAGGGTTTCATTATTCTCCAAATACCGTGTTTGATAAATTGGATCAATTCGGTATAAGCGTTCCCGAAAAAGAAAGAATATACGAGTGGTTCTTAGTGTATGACTTTGAGTCTATGCTGGTTCCAATGTATACAGAAAGTTCTGATTCTCAGCAATACACAGAAAATCACGTACCTATCTCTGTTAGCATCTGTTCTAACGTAGATGAGTACACAAAACCACATTGTATCATTGAACCAGATATCAACACTCTGGTCAAGAACATGGTTCAGTGCATGACAATGATTGCTAATAGGGCTGCTGAACTAGCAAAAGAAAAATTTGCCTACGTGTTCGAGGCTCTCAGTGACCTTGTTTTCGACAATGTAGACGAGGACATGGCCGAGTACCTCGAACACGAAGACGATGTCAATAAAATGATTGAAGATGAAAAGAAAAGCATAGAAAAGTTGAAGGTGGAAATGGAAGAATATTGCGAACAGATCATTTGTATCGGTTTCAATTCCGCCAAATACGACATCAATTTGATCAAAAGTTATCTCATCAAACATCTTGAGCTAGGTTCGACAAATGGCACATTCACCGTCAAGCGAAATAATGCTTATGCCTGCATAAGTACTCGTAGGTTTAAATTTTTAGATATTACACAGTATCTGAGTCCCGGCATCAATTATTCAGGGTTCTTGCGTGCTTTCGATGTACAAGAATGTAAAGGGTTTTTTCCCTACCAATTTCTAGACTCTGTTGAAAAATTAAATCACCCCGAACTTCCTCCACATGAAGCTTTTTATTCGTCTTTGAAAGATTCAAATATTACAAACGAAGAATACGCCTTTTGTCAAAAAGTGTGGGAGGAAAAAAATATGACATCATTTCGCGATTTTCTGGTGTGGTATAACAACCTCGACGTCAAACCTTTCGTGCAGGCTGTGACAAATCTACAGAAGTACTATTTCGAACGTCAAATTGATATTTTCAAATGTAGTATTTCGGTTCCCGGTCTAGCGCGCCGAATGTTGTTTGACAGTGGGAGAAAAGAGGGGGCCAGTTTTGCATTGATCGATCAAGCCAACGAAGACTTGTATGATACCATTAAGCAAAACATTATTGGCGGACCGAGTATCATATTTAATCGCCATCACGAGGTTGGAAAAACTTATATTCGAGGGAATTCCCAGAAACCTTGTGGTAAGATTATTGGCTTCGATGCTAATGCCCTGTATCTACACTGTATAGGGAAAGAAATGCCCGTGGGTTCTTTTGTGCGCCGTAAGGTAGACGACGGATTTAAACCACAGAAACGCGATCGATACTCTCTAGCTTATGATTGGTTAGAGTGGCTGAACCACAGTGGTCAGTACAAGATTACACACAAATTGAATTCCGGAAAGGAAAAGAAAATAGGTCGCTTTCCGGTCGACGGTTATGATGAAGCTTCCAACACTGTGTTTCAGTTTCAAGGCTGCTACTGGCACGGCCACCGTTGTTGGTTAACGCGTCATGTTCAAGACGACAAGCTGATGAATGGTCGCGAAAAGAAAACTCGCAAAACAACACTTTATCTTCAAAGGAAAGGTTATAAAGTAGTAGAAATGCGCGAATGCACTTTCCGAAATAACGTTCGGTCTAATTTGAAATTGAAAAAATTCTCAAATTCGCGTAAACCTAATATGAGTCAAGGTTCTTTGTCTTCGGAAGACGTAATAGTTGCCGTGATGAGTAATAAGTTGTTTGGCATGGTCGAGTGCGACATTCGCGTACCGGATACCTGGCCTGCTCACTTCAGCCACCCCACTATGACCCCTTATGAGTTTTTTTCAGAAATGAGTCCCCTCTTTTGTACCACCGACATTCCCTTTGACGTGATAGGTCATCACATGCAAAATCATGTAAAGCGCTTTCACCTTTCTACAAAACCTAGGCGATTACTAGTCGGGGGAATGCGCGCACGCCAATTATTAATTGCTACTCCATTACTGAAGTGGTATATAAGTCATGGTCTGGAAATCACAAAAATTTATCAAACCGTGGAATTCACGCCACAACGATGTTTTCGATCATTCGTAAGCGATGTCAGTAATGCTAGGCGTGAAGGTGACGTAGATCCTTCTAAAGCAATTATCGCAGACACGCGAAAATTAGAAGGTAATAGTGCTTTTGGATCCACCATCATGGATCAAGAAAAATTTCAGGTCGTCAAATATGTTAGAGGAGAAGGGAATGCCATGATGGAAATAAATGAGCCTCACTTTAAAAAATTAACAACTTTGATAGAAGACGAGGAATTGTATGAAATAGAAAGAAGTAAAAAGAAATTGAATTTGAACTTGCCCATTCAGATCGGTTACTTCATCTTGCAGTATGCAAAACTGCACATGTTGCAATTCTACTATGATTTCATGGATAGATTTGTAGACCGTGCAGACTTTGAATACTGCGAGATGGACACCGACTCTGCCTACATGGCGATATCGGGTTCCACCTTTGAGTCCGTGATTAAACCTGAACTACGACAGCTTTACGATCACGGTCTCAACGGATATTGTACAAGCACCCTAGAGATCGAGGCGGACTGCGACCGACATTGGTTTCCTCGCACTTTCTGTAAGGAACACGCAAAGTACGATCGTAGAACGCCTGGTCTCTTTAAAATTGAATATGAAGGGGACGAGATCATTGGTCTTTGTTCCAAGACTTATATCGTTTCAGCTCGAAAGCAAGTGTCGCTTTCAAGCGCCGTGATAACGGCTGGGCGCTTACTTAAACGAGCTAAGAAATGTAAATCAGTGAACAGGCGGAAAAATATCAAACAAAGAGATATCACCCATTGTAAATTTTCATGCAAAGGTGTTTCCAAGAAAAGAGTAAAAGCACCCCTAACCACTTTTAGAAATGTTTTAAAGACTCAAAAACAAGCTTTTGGGATAAATATGGGTTTTAAACTTCACAATAACAAAATCTGCACTTATCGTCAAGTGAGGAATGGTTTTTCCTACTTTTACTGTAAAAGAAAAGTACTAGCTGACGGTGTGATTACAAAACCATTAGATATAGAACTGTGTCCCTTAAAACCTAAAAAGATCGATGATATCGAAATTGACGACTTCGATTTAAATCTTATTCATCTTCTAGAAGAAGTCGAATAATAGAAGTCGATATACAATTAACTATCAAACATGAGTGAATAAATTTGAAGTTTTAGGCAATGGTATAGGGAGGACTTCATTAATAGGTTTTATTGTTGTTTATTATTTTGTTAATTTTTTTTTTAATTTTTTTTTTCAAATTACTCATAGATATATCATTCTATTATTAAAAGTATATAGCGTTACTTGTTGTATATAATTAAAAGTTGCTCTCAATATTGTTTATAAAATTGTGCCCTTCTTTCATCAGGCGTGAGTCAGGCATAGACCAAATACATTGTACATATTGTATATAGATTTATGAGAACATATGTTACATCCTATAGTTGTTATTTACATATACATAATCATATAAAAATAAATGTTGACAAACAGATTTTGTATTGTCGTGTTTTTGTAGTT